CCCACGCACGAGCGCGCATGATCACCGGTAAGCCTACGAAAACACGCACGTACATATACACACGCGCGCAAACGAATACACGCACACTATCGTAAATACCATATTTCGTATAGCGACAAGTGATTAGTGAAAGGCAGTTTTTTTTTTTTTGTAAGTGTTTTACGGCGCTCGCACTGCATAAGGTCACATGAGAGCGCGGGACACACCTGACATTTTCAGTAGGTTGGAAATTTTGAATTTTGCCCGGGTAGTGGCCGAATCCTACTCTTATCGATTTTAGACCACCAATGGATCTTTAACGTGCGCAATTTGCACACGGGACCTCCGAGATTTTTCACATGTGAGCAGGCTTGGAGAAAATTCCCAGCTATAGGAAATTTTAGATATTAAAATAAGAGCGCATTAAATTCTTTAGGCCCAAACTGCCCTGAACACTCTGGTTTAAAATCCCCACTGACTGAAGTTGTCTTTATGCAAGAAGCTTAAATCTCCTTGTCTTTAAGCCATTCCCAAAGGGCGGATATTAACATATTCTTAGGCACAGTTGAATTGTAAATGGGCTGATTTATCAATGTCATGCTCATATACTGTGCAGGAGCAACATAGAGAGAAGTGCTGCTTTTCCTTTCCTCATCCTACTATTGAACATATTTCCTCCACTTCTTTTGTACTTTTGTCACTCTATTGTGAACTGCGTAGTGCCTTGCGAAGCAGACTTAGTTTGTGCTGTTTATGATAGAGAGGTGAGCAGAAGTCTGATTCCCCATTTGGACTTCTCTGCTGACATCCAAGCCCTTGGCGCTCATATGACCATGCAGTTGTGAGAGCCTAAAACCTGACTAACACTAAATAACTAACTAGACCTCTATTTTTTTTTCTCCAATATCTTGTGTAGTTTTACAGATAAGCCACATTTCAAAACCCAATTCTAATTTTAAAACTTTTCTAAAGTACAAAACATGTTGAAAAAACAACTAGAATTGAAAATGTTAAGACATAAAACATAATTATAAAATCCTTTCATGACATGTTATATAAGAAATGGTTAAACATGTGTTTAGTGATGGAACTTCTAATTCTTGATCAGGTACTTTTGTGAGTTGTTTTTTTTTTTACCCCGTTGCAAAAAATAGCTTAGCCAACAATTATTCGGACCTTTCTCCAGGTACACACACAAATACGGTGTACGAGTCGCATTTAATTGTTGATGGGCGATTGAAAAAAAGTTGAGACGTTAAGTAGCCTATTATTTCTGGTGTTTTTCTTTCTTTAAAAAAAAAATACCTGTGCTTTTTATAGTGCGCTCAGAGTTTATTTGAACTGTGACCGTCGGTGCCTTCATGTTTGTTGACACCTTTCTCTAGGTCAAGAAAAAGATCCGTTAGGTGCATTACAAGCTGTATGGTGTAGGCCAGAGCGTAGTTAAGCTGATTATAAAAGGGGCTTGTTTCCCAGCTTCTGTTCGAGGGAGTTACTACAATAACCACGTCAGCTCAGTAAAGCAAAATAATAATATAATGTGCCCCCCCCACCCCCAATAATATTTTTCAATGAATTTTACTCCCCAAAAAGTGTCAACAAACGACTTTCGTACAACGAACACTCCCGGGTCACATGATCATAAAGGTTTTTATTTCTGCACGCATGCGCGAGGGTTGTCCACTGGCTCTGACACTAAGCGTCGAAAATGGCGGAATCTTTGAGACGGCTTGTGAACATCGAAACATTTTCTGTTCTGCAGGAGAAACTTGAAAAATGGCAGAGCGACTACTATGTGAGTTGACATTTGATATATCTATTTGTTTAATATTTTTGAAAATTTTGCTTGTTTTATCAAAATGCATTCTAGTTTTAGACGAACAAATTCCGTTGCTATGGAAATCTAGTTTCGGAATATCTGCAGTAATTTTGTGTAGTGTCACTTGGGGTGCATGTATCCGTACTTTCCAAGAATGATAATTGAAGAGGGTACTAAACAAAAAAGAAATTACCGATGGTGCAAGTTTTCACGGTGCCAAATGTACTTACTAAGCGTGATTACGGTATGCCGCCCAAAAAAAGACTAGTTCAGACTGGCCGCGGAGAACACGACACAGCACTCGACTAGGACACTTTGAATTTGTATAGAGGCCTAGAATTGAATCCTAGACTACGATTGTTGACTCTTTGAACTGAAGCGAACACAATCGTTGCAGTTCGTTCATAGTATAGTTATGCAGTTATATAAATTATCCTAATAATGTCAGTTCAGCAGAAATATTTTCGGCTATTTTGTAGTGTGGAAATTTGATTCCCACATTTAAAGGGAGCTGAAAGACCTTGTTTTGTAGCTTACCTTTGGCTATCAATTTATTTATGAGCATGGGCAAGAGGATCATATGGCTACTATATGCTTGGTTAGGTCTGGGATTAGACTTGAAAGCTGATTTCAGTTTCATAGTAGGCTACTTTATTTTTTGTTTAGTTGAGAGGCTGAGGTTAGCTAAATTTAAGAAAGCAATTTTTTCCTTTGAAGACGAATTTCATTCTTTTATAAGATGTTGCCATTTTCAAAGTTAACTTGTTTTATTTGCAAGTATGCGATATATGTGTAGTACAATAGGCCTAATTGTTTCTTTGCTGAGCAGAAATGGAAAGAACAAACTGTTTCAATGAGAAATTTAGTTCGGAGTTCCTCGAATCCCCTGATCTAATTCAGCAGCACGTCATTTAAAATAGTTTTTGTTTTAGGAAAAAAGACAAAGTAGCCAGGGTTAGAATTTTTTGGCAGTCTTTTATTCTTACTTCATAATTCTACTCCAAAATATTATGAAGGGTTTATCCTGCTGATTATTCCCCTGGTTCCATCGTGTCCATCCCCACAATTACTTTGTATCTTCTAGTTTCGCACTTTTCTACCCGGGAGTCTATCAGCACCAAGTACCTGGTCTTTTTTTCTCCTATGTACTTGTGCTTGTATCGTCAATGTCGGTCGTGTAGGCTATATGTTCGGTAACAGGAAATATCAGGTTCACTCTGAGATTTCTAAAATAATTAATTGCATTATATTAAATTTCCTAAGATTATTCTGGATGAATCTGGAGAGGTGCAAACAATCATTCCATTTTTTCTATCCTTTCGGCTTTGTCTGCTGTTCTTCATTGTTCCTGCTGATGCAGAAGCTCCTCAGTCTCCCAGGGTTGAAAAATAAAAAGTCTTAAATTTGTCAGTGTTTCTATTACGGACTGTTTTTACTTGATCGAAGTTCGCCCTCCGCAAACTGGCACTTTTCGGGAGACCAGACGTATGCACCTTTAGTCACCTCTTACGACACGCAGTATCACGGGAGGTGTATTCTTTGGTCAGTATCATGGGAGGTGTATTCTTTGGTCCCCCGTAGTAGAACTATGGGGCTGTGATACCTTAGAAGGAAAATTACGGACTTATTTGACCTTCGACACTAGGAAGATTGTTTTACCAGCTTCACATTATGTTTCTTATCGCAGATGTCATTTATTTTTGTTTTGTTCTTTTTTTTTTTTTAAACCTGTTTTACATGTTTACTCTCTTCCAAGTTAAAAATAAAGCGTCTGATTCAATTGCAATTTATTGATATGTGAGGCATCGTGGTGAAATCAGGCGCTCGTCAAAATAATGAAATTAAAAAAATTGGCATTTTTCTGTCCGTTTGGCAATTTTTATAGAATTTTTGTTTTTTGACTCAACACCTTTAAAAATAAGGTCCATTTAAAAACACATTTCTGTGTGGATTGCTCCAAAAATGTTGATTTAAGGCACAAAAATGTAAATTTGCTGTTTCTAAAGACTCTTAAGCTTTGGTAGTTGTCTAACTTTGGAGGCCACTTTCTCGCTAATTTTACCTCTTAAACCAGGGGACCCCCACCTTCCTTTAATTGCAAATATCTCGACTTCTATTCATGATAGATGAGTATTTTTTTCACCTAAAGCAAGACAATTGAACAAGCTGTAAAGTGATACCAATGATTCCACTTGTCCAAAAATTGACGAGCGCCTGATTCCACCGCGTTGTGACACATATTTAAAAAAAAAAAATAAAATGAATGAAATATGTAATCTGTTTCTGTTCTCTTTCCTTTCTTCCCCTGCTTTTTTAAAACATGGGCGTTTTTTTCATTCGTCCATTTGACGTTGAAGATAATGATATGCTGGGTATTGTGGACGATGCTGTTTCAAAATAATTTTGGCCTTCAAGTTCTTTTAAAAGAGATTACGGTTTGAAATTATGAACAGTTTTTGAGGACAGAACATATTGTTCCCTGAGCCTTTAATTTCTGGCTCTGTTCATGAATCATTCCTCCTCCCCGCCC